CACCATAAAAGGGAGCGTGGGATTTTATGTATCCTAATGGGATTAATAGCTAAATAAAATTTTGTGGTGTAATTGTTTTTATATTTTATTTGCTGTTCATTCATTGTTACATCTCTTTATTCAAACATATATGGGACATACCAATATGACGGGTGGGACATTTGAACTCGTTTTTCCTCAAAATATAAAGTAATTTCTCTTTAACCCTTAGTTTGGCAAGTACTAAACTGTTCCAGTACAATAAGGTACACGTTTCAAGAGTCTTAAAAATAACGTTGTTTTTTGGAATTTTTTTGTTTGTGGTGTTGCGCACTTTCCTCCATATGTAAAACGAATGTTAGCATTTTATTTTATATGGATAAAAATGTGCAACACCGTTGTTGATGATTTTTTTCTAATATTTTAAATTAAATTTTATTTGTATAGTTTTTGTTAGACAATACTATATATATACTTTTCTAAAAAAAAAAATTAACTTAGAAAAAATGTAATAAATAGCTCAAACCGGGTGACCGTAGCATTTTGTCGCGGAGTGTACTATTAAAAAAGTGAAATATAATTCAGGAATTTATTTTTGTATAATTTAAGTTAAACTCTAAGCTTAATTTAACGTAGTGGGACTTTCTAACAAAACTAGTTATGACTTTATAGGCTAGCTGAAGAGATCTCAATGATAAGTTACGTTAAATGAAGCCGACCAGTGTTGCCGCGCCGTCTCAAGAAAATGTATCACTGACCAAGCCAAAGATGTATCCAAATGTATCCAATGTTCTTTTTTTGCGTATACATCTCATAATTTGTAAGAAACCAAAAATTTTCCAGAAAAAGACATATAACTTAACCCATCCTAAGGACTTGGAATACATGTATATATTTTTTTATTTTTCATAAAATCAAACATGTGTAATTTCAATTTATAAAGTACATTTTTTGTGCATAAGTATTTTGCAAAGTTAGTATAATAAATAGTAAGTACACTCTAAAAAGAGCATGTACACCTACTACTGAAAAGTATCTATTTTTCAACAAGAATCTGTATAAATGTACATATAATATGTTCAGGATTGGATTTAGAACTTGAGATCTTTAAAATATACACATAAATAGATACACATACAAAATGTTTAAAATTGCAAAAATTTTCAAACTACAAATACATTTCCTACTAATAATAAACATTAGGGGCTCACTATTACTCTATTTTAAACATTTTATGTGTAATTTTGCTCTTCGCGACACATCTGGTATGTAAAAGTAAACAGGCAATGTTTAATGTGCAAATTTGCACACATTAAAAGAGCAAACTGGTTACCTCTCTTAATATGCGCAAATAAAAAAAAAATTTTTTTAGAGTGTATTTAAAGCCTTTTCAGTAAAATTCATACAGATTTCCTTGAATAAATCAAATTAATTTTTTTTAACGGTGTATTTTAAACTACCGTTGTTTTTCTAGAATTACTGGACGATAATGTAAACCGATTTTCTCGTAAAAACCAGCGGATAACAATTACTATATCCGCCTACAAGAGCTGTGGGCGTGGTAGTGTTGAATTTTACCTTCTTCCACACTTCTTCATTCCTAAGTGCCGAACACCTCATATACGAAATTTTAGCGAATTTCTAGTACGGTTACTACTTTTGGTCGCTGTGGTGTAGTGGTAAGCAGTGCGCGCTTCCACTCCGCAACGCCTGGGTTCAAGCCCTGGTCAAAGCAACATCGCAAAAAATATAGAAAAAGGTTTTTTCTTAACAGCGGTCGTCCCTCGGCAGGCAATGGCAAACCTCCGAGTGTATTTCTGCCATGAAAAACAGCTTCTCATAAAAAGAAATATAATCGCAGTTCGGAGTCGGCGTAAAACTGTAGGTCCCTCCGCTTTGTGTGACAACATCAAGGCGCACGCCACAAATCGGCGGAGAAGCTCGGCCAAACATTAACATATGTGTAAGCGCCAATCTATTATTATTATTATTACTACTTTTGGCCGCAGCTTATATGGGGACGTCTCACTGTGTGCCGTGTCGCTGCTAATGTGAAAGTACCCTGCAGCAAATGAAATTAATTTGAAAGTAATTTATAAAATAATTTATTTTCAATAATAACTAATTGAAAATCTCACTGCAACGAACTGATTTATTTAACATGGCGATGTCCTGGGAAGCAGTCAATTATCCGGCTCTTCATTTGATTTCAATTACTTATGTAAAAAGGCATTCGGCTTAAAGCACTTCAAAGTCAGTATATTTCGTTTGAATACACTTTCGTTCTGCACTTCACAGATGCTTCTTCATATTTAAAAGACCCAAAAAAAGTGAATTATCATTTTCACATTTTGTCTCTGTTGGGATTCGAACCCAGATCTTCTGAAATCTAACAAGTAACAACAAGCATCTCTGCACGCTCAGCTACAGCCAGACATATATGTAAGTGTGCTTTCAAATGTACAGTATGAATTGTGTGCAAGCAGCAAGTGGATAGCCCAACTCTGCATTTGATTTCAACTGCTTTAATTTGCATTTGGTTTAAATCACTTAAAAGTGAGTATTTTTCCTTTTAATACGCACTTCACAGATGGTTTTTCATCCTTCCAAGACACAAATTGTTTCTTTGAGTAAAAATAGTATCAAAATTAGAAACATTTACACACCGCATTCGCTTCAAGTAGTCTTTCAATTATTTGATTAAAAAAAAATCACTAGCTTCCGCCAGGGTATGTACCAGGGTTGTTGCGAGTATTCGCATTCGCAAATGCGGAGCTTCCGCATTAATTTTAACATTCGCTTTCGCATTCGCATTAATCAATGCGGATCTTTTGCGAATGCGAATATTTAAGGGACCGAAAATAACAGTTATTTTTTGTAAGAGTTAAACTTGGGCAAATATTTTTTATTCCGAAATAAAAGTTCCATCCGGATAATAAACAAACCGCTTACCCAAATTATACAAGTTTGGTATTAAATGAAATGGATTTAAATAGCTTTAAAACTGAAATGTCTAAACGAGGAAAGCCACCTTGAAAAATATTTCAATAAAATTGTTAATGAATACCATAGCATGTTAATGAATACCATGGTATGGTATGCATTTCTTTAGTATTAAATTATAAAAAAAAAAAAAATATGGGTGGCAACCTTCGTTCGTTACTTCTGTTTCAAAGCTATTTCAGTCCTCTTTCATATGATACCAAATTCGTTAAATGAGGATAAGCGGTTTGTTTATTATCCGGAAGGGACTTTTATTACGGAATAAAAATATTAGGTCAAGTTTAACTCGTAAAAAAATAACTGTTATTTTCGGTCCCTGGAATATTGTGCAAGTGCACTGATAAAACAGTCACAGAAGAAAGGATTAGAAATAAATTACAAAAACTAAAATCGAAAAGCGCTGATATAGGTTATAGGTTCCCCGAATTCCGAAACAACCAAAATAATGAGAATGAAGAATTCTTTGGAAAACAACCGTGTTTAACCAACGATCTTGCAATGATGCTAGATTGTGAAGTTGAAATTCAGGAGGATACATCCGACATTTGCAGCCCCGATGCAATTCTCGAAAAGGAATTATTGCACCGCAATAAAAAAATAAATGAATATAATTGAAAGTCCTCTCAACTAGTTCATCGTCAATCGAAAAGAATTCACAATTTTCTCAAGTTTCAAGTTTTTCAAGTTTGTCGCCTCGAGCGAGTAGTTATTTAGTGGCGCAGGTTTGATTTACGGTCCTTTAAAACGTTTTTATCATATACAATGTTCCAATTTTTAAATTCAAGTACTAAAAGGACAATATTCAAAATTACTAACCTTTCTATTTTTTATTTACCTAAATCTCCTTATTTACTCACCTCAATTATTTCTTAAAAATACTTGACATCCGCATTCGCATCCGCGGATATCCAAAATTCCACATTCGCAACATCCCTAGTATGTACTCCGAAAAATCGTGTCGGTGTCGGTGCAGTGCTGATGTTTAGAGGACTTGAAAGCACAAACACTTATTTTTAAACAGTGTGAAAATTAATTGCGCACTCTCACAATCGTATATCGCAAAATTTTCGCGGTTTCAAATCGGAAACTTTAGACTTAGTGGCATGAAAAGTAAATGACGTTACACGCTTAAATAACCGATTTATAAAAGCTTGGACAGCTTTTATTTATTAAAAGAAATTCTTAAGATACATTTCATTGCCCGCACATAAATATGTACACGGTGGGCAGGAAGCGAAGATAGGTTGCATAAAAATGTCGACAAAATCTGAAAGCAGGGTTGTATTTGTTGATATCTTAAGGTTAAGAATCCGCTTAAATTGAAATCCTAGCTGCTCCTGTTTTAAAGATATCCACATTTTATATACTTCTGAT